AGAGAGAAAGAGAGAGAGAGAGAGAAGCAAAGCACATCAACTACACATTCCTATTATTACTTTGTAGTTTTACAACATGTATTGTTAACTGACCATTAGTACTTTACAGTTTGATTTTTAGAAAATTAAATACTAAAAATAAAAAAATCCTCAATTGCATGTTCAGAAGCCAGTGTAGTGGATCCATGGACAAGAAAATGAAATCTAATGTTAGTAAAACTTGCCTAAGAAATAAGATTTTCCAGTCACTTGTGTCCAGTTGCCTTTACTTTTTATGGGCTATGTCAGTGGCCACATTTCCTTGATTCCCAGTTTTCCATCTTTCCTTCCTTTCTATTTGCTGAGGAAATTCTTTAGGTAATATTTTTCATGTAGTTTTCATGAGTACTCCAATTTCCAAACTCTTGCCTGCCTAGAAATGTCTCCATTTTGCCACCAAACTTTATTAGTAATACACACTAGCATAAGGGACTATGTTTTAAAGCATTATCATTCAGAGCTCTGAAGACATTGCCTTATCTCCTCCCAGGACCCAGTATGAGTGGTGGTCTGCTTCCCAAACCCTCCTCCTCCTCACCTCCTTCCCTCTGTCTCTCTCCTTCCCTTCAGGGTTTCCCACAGTTCTTCTCTCCTTTTTACATTTTCAGTGTCTTCTCAAGATGTTTGATGTTTGAGTTCTGGCATACAGCCTGTGTATGGACATTTTTCTACTATGGTTCATGATTGTAATTCTGAGAACCAGTTAGTTACTGCTGCTCTTCAGAACACTTTCTCGCTGTTCTTGTTGTCTTTGAAGGTACTTGGACCCAAAAATATATGAATTGGCAATGATAATGTACTTTTATTCCTTTTTTATTGATCTCTGGCTTTTCTGTTTTCGATTACTTTTAACTAGCAGACAATCTTTAGTTATGCATTTGCATACAGGAATAACTGGTGGGCAGCTAAAATGGGACCCTCCTGCATAGAGTACTTCACTTTCCTAAAGTGGGAGGGTTTTCAGGGACCCTGAGCAGATGTGGGGAGCATAGCACAGCCAGCTTCCTCATCAGTCTGTGACCCCACCGTTGTCCGAGTTAAGAGAAGCACGAAGTACTGTCTGGTCAAACTTCTTTATGGTGGAATGATCTGTTCATCTGTCTGCCTCCCTCCGTCCCTCCAACCATCCATCCTTCCCTTCCCCTTCCTTCCTTCCTTCCTTCCTTCCTTCCTTCCTTCTTTCTTCCTCAAGTTTGTTGAGTCAATAACCATGTTCTCTGCTCTGTTTCTCATCCAGGAAGAAAATTGCCCAGGCAATATGACCACTTTTCAAAAACAGTAACAGCAAGCTGTTCTTTGCCCTGTTTTAGAAATAAAACTACTGGAGCTAGCGAGCTGGCCCAGTGGTTAAAAGCACTTGCTGTTCCTGTAGCGGACACAAGTTCAGTTCCCAGTACCCACATAGTCCCTAACATCTGTAACTTCAGCCAGTTCTGGTCTCCAAATGGTACCAAGAACACACATACAAGGTGCACATGCATACACGTAGGCAAATCATTCATACACAAAAAATTAACATGAAATTTTTTAAGGAAAACAGCTTCAAAAAAAAAAAAAAGGAGAACAAGGAGCCTTTCTGGCTGGCTATTGCAAGGTCATTTCTTTCTTTCTTTCTTTCTTTTTTTCAAGACAGGGTTTCTCTGTGTAACTTTGGAGCCTATCCTGGCACTTGCTCTGGAAACCAGGCTGGCCTCGAACTCACAGAGATCCACCTGCCTCTGCCTCCCGAGTGCTGGGATTAAAGGCGTGCACCACCAACACCTGGCTCCAAGGTCATTTCTTCACTTACTGTGATGACAGCATCCATTCCCTCCTTTCTATTTTTGGTTGCATGAAGATAGAAGTCTCTGTGTCCTCTGCTCTGGTCTTCCTTTGACATTTCCTTCCTTTTTTTTTTTTTTTTTTTTTTTTTTTTTTTTTTTTTTTTTTTTCTAGTAAGATCTTCAAAAGGAAAGGGGGCAGGGTTGTGTATTGAGCTGCTGCTTTGCCCTGGTTTTCAGTTATGTGATTTTAGTCCATGGGAAGCTCTCTTTTCCAGACAAGATTCTTGTGCCTCATAAATCTTTCTAAGAAGATATTTTAAAAATTAAACACACACACACAAATTTCAAAGTATTCTTTACTGAATTTGGTGAGATTATGGGTGCATTTTTTTTTAGTTTTTTATTTTTTATATATTTGAATTACAAACAAGATTGAATTACATGACAATCCCAGTTCTCCTCTCCTTCCCTTCCTCTATGGGTGCATTTTTTTAATGCCCTAAAAATGTGACCAACATCAGTTCAACTTCTATTTTCAATTGACTGACTGCTATTCTCACTGAAAGGCAGTTTGTGGTGGTTTAAGTGAGAATGTCCCTCCCCACCCCATAGGCTCACATATTTGAATACTTTGTCAGCAAAGAGTGAAACTGTTTGAGAAAAATTAGAAGGATTAGGAGGTATGGCCTTGTTGGGGTAGATGTGGCCTTGTTGAAGGAAGTATGTCAATGGAGATGGGATTTGAGATTTCAAAAGTCCATATCAGGCCCAATCTCTCTCTCTCTCTCTCTCTCTCTCTCTCTCTCTCTCTCTCTCTCTCTCTTTCTCTCTCTCTTTCTTCTCTCTGTGTGTCTCCTCTCTCCTGTCCTCTCTGTCTCTCTTCTCTCTGTGCCTGTCTCTGTCTGTCTCTCTGTCTCTATCTGTGTGTGTGTGTGTGTGTGTGTGTCTGTGTGTGTCTGTGTGTGTGTCTGTCTGTCTGCCTTTCTCTCTCTTTCCCCTGAAGATCAAGATGTAAAGGTCTCAGCTACTGCTCCGGCACTATGTCTACTTCCCACCATGATGATCATGGACTAACAAAACTGTAAGCAAGCTCCCAATTAAGAGTTGTCTTGGTCATGATGTCTCTTTACAACAATGGAATAATAACTAAGACACAGATGGAACTGACAAGGCAAGTTTTGGATCAAGAAAAAAATCGTTCTTACTTTTGTAGGTGTCCCTTCGTCTCTATGGGCCTCCATTTCCTTGCCAGTGAAAAGGAAATACTAAGGCTTTGATTAGCTTTTGTGAAGGTAATCAAAATTACTTTCTGCAATGTGAATTCTGTGGCCATCCTCATTCATGAACTTTTTAGGTGGAAGATAAATGAGGATGGCCACAGAATTCACGTTGCAGAATTCACTTTGTAGGTAGGAATGAATACTGCTTTGCCTGTGATATTTTGATTGCCTTCACAAAAGAGTAAGGAAGGCAAGTACACTTAAACGGAAAAAAAAATGTATTCATTTTTGTTAGCTATTGCACTGAGAGGGAAATACACAGTAAATGTCCAGGGATTTCCTTCTCATGTTGCTTTACTGGTAGTCCCTGCAGCTTGTCTCTCAGGAAGGTTAGATAAACAAGATTGCCTGGGAGATTTACCCAAGCGGCCTCCACAGAGGAGTTCTTTGCCTATTCCAGGACACAGTCACTTCAGAACTGAAAAACAAAAGCACTTCACTGATGCAATGTACCAGGAAACTAAGTGTCATAAAGATAGGTGAAGACACAGTTGAACTGGGTAGCAAAGTAACAATGTACTAACTGAAACAAATGTTGTTTGATCATTTTAGAAGATAACAATCATTTAATTAAATGCAAAGAAGCAAGGGAGATTGAAAAGCACTGTTTACTTGGCACTCTAGAGATAACCTACTTCCCTAACATGTCAGTGATTGTTCAAATAACTGATCAAACTACTCAGAGAAGGAACAGAGTTTCTTAATTACAGTGCATTTGCCTTAAGATCCGCACCTTTGTAGAAGGTTTGTATAATTTCTTAGCATTCAAGTGGAAAAGGCAGGCAAATCTCCAAGCTCAACACCAGCTTGGTCTATGGAACAAGTTGCATGACAGCCAGGCTGTACAGAGAAACCCTGTCTTGAAAAACAAACTAAAAACTGCATAATTTGTGTGTGCACACATGTGTGTGCAGTATGTGTATGCATGTTTGTGTGCAGGTGCAGTCATGCCTGTGTGAGCATGTGGGGCCAGAGGTATCTTTCTTTATTGCTTTCTTTATTCCTTTGTTTTTTCTTGGATAGTCTCTCGCTGAAGCTGCAGTACCACAGTGCCTACACTGTCTGGTCAGCAAGCCCAGTCTTGTATTACTTTTAAACTAAATAAAACAAGCACTTTGTGAGAATTTAAATTTATGTAAATGTTTAAATGTGCTCATCACTAGCACAAGCAACAAGTATCCCACATATGCGCAGATACAATTTGAGTCAATACCTACAGGGAAAAGATGACTTTAGAAACCTCTAGGATCTAGAAGGTGTCAGGTTTGAGCTGGGCCTACTCAGGCTACATTCACCTACAGCAATCTCTTTCTTAGCCTCACAGCTGCTGTGAAAGAAACACCGGGCACTCTCCTCTAGCTGTCTATGAGTCTGTAACCCTCGCTTCCTCAGAAAACGGTTAACATACACCATAAGCACCCAGGAGTGACAGGTCACATTTTTTATGATGGACAGTCACTGAAAGGCCATGTTGTTCCCACTTTCTGCCATTGTTGGGAATCAGAGACAGCCAATCTGTGCTATCATCAACTTGTCCACATCAAAGACATGTCATGGGGCCCTCCTCCCCTTTACCACTTTACCTCCTAGGCCTGAACTCTCATGAGAACTCTCACCATGCCTGTCCATCTATGGCATTAAATAGCTCCTAATAAAATTCCTAGCCAAAAGGTCAGTCCTCCTCACTGTCCCTCATGGACCTCAAATCTGAGAACTTTCAGGAAGACTTTCCAAAGAATTGATTTGATCCACATGTCACGTTTAACTTTACTGAAAATATAAGAATGGAAGCAAATTCCAAGGAAAACATCAGAACTTTTGATGGCATATGTTATTCAACTAAAAATATACTATACAGAGTAGATTTGCTAGCAACCATATGTTATACTCAAACTAACATTGTGATTTAAATTTCAGAAGTATGTACCCAAGTTTGTATGAAACAGTTCAGATACAAACAGAAGAAAGTTGGCTTCAGCAAATTTCTGCTATTAAGGAGCCAAGTGAGTAGTTTGATTCCTGAGCCTTTGCTGGGGGATTGGGAAAGTTAACTATCGTGGAAGGACTGATGCTCTGTAAATAGACATCGGACAAATTTGTTAATCCCACCATGCATTAGCCACTTTATCTCTTAGTAAACTGATAGTGATACAGGAGTACTGCTCATCAAAATGAGATTAGATATTTAAAATCATTGGCAGACAATATTTAATAAATGGCAATGTATTTATTCATCAAGAAATAATCTGCCATTAAGACAAGTATGGTGGCACTTATCTTTGATCCCAGTACTCAGAAAGTATAGGCAAGCAGATCTTTGTTAGTTCAAGGACAGCCTGGTTTACATAGTGAGTTCTAGGCCAGTCAAAGATACACAGTAAAACCCTGTCTTGAAAGAGAGAGAGACAGAGAGAGAGAGAGTTCTGTATATATATATATATATATATATATATATATATATCCTTATGTTTATTATAGAAATGACATATGCACTCTTTTTAAAAACTTTTCAAACCATCAATAAATAATATTAAAGCTATGGTTTAGGATGTATAGAGACTATGGAAGAGTGCCCATCTAGAATGCAAAAGGTGGTGGGTTCAACCCCCAGCACTATAAGAAAAAAAAATAAAAGAAACATTTGACTTACCAGAAACCATGCAGATGGAAGGGTTTGTTTCAGCATACAGATTTTACAGTTCATTGTTTCAGGAAGTCAGGGAAGGAACTCAAGCAGCAACTCAGAGGGGAAACCATGGAGGAATGTCATTTGCTGATTTATGCTTAGCTAGATTTCTTATCATAGCCCAGGACAGCCTGACCAGGCAAGGGAGCCTCCCACAGTGACAGCCCTACTACCTCAATTAGCAATCAAGACAACCCTCCATAGACATGCTGTGTTGGTTTGAATGAGAACACCCCCATAGGTCATATATTTAAATCCTTGGCCCCCAGTTGGTGGAACTATTTGGAAAGGATTAGGGAGTGTGGACTTGTTGGAGGAGGTGTGTCATGGGAGATAGGCTTTGTGGTTTCAAGATCTCCTACCATTCCCAATTGGGCCTCTCTGTTGCCTGCCTTCAGATAAGGCTGTAAACTCTCAGCTAATGTTCTATCTAGGACCATGTCTACGTGCCTGTGTCTATGCTCCCGCCATGATGGTCAAGGACTAAGTTTCTGAAACTGTAATAAATAAATTCTTTCTTCTGTAAGTTGCCTTGAGCATGGTGTCTTAGCCCAGCAATAAAAAAGTAATACACATGCCCACAGGTGAATCTGACCTATACAATCCCTCGATTGATACTCCTTTCTCAGGAGACTCTAGGCTGTGTCTAGTTGGCAGTTAAAGCTAACTAGGATGTTGACAAAGTGGCACCGGTGTGTGAAAAGCTATGTATTATAATCTAGGAAGAGGGGGGACATTTGAAAATGAAACAGGCACCTATTTTTCTATGATATATTTTCTATTTAACTTGTTTCTCCTTTTTAAAGATTGATGATAAATACATACACACTTTTTGTTTTGGTTTTAGGAAAAATAACATTCCCTGAAACAAAGGAAGAACGACCAGAATCTCCAGCTTCTAAATTAAGAGGTAAATGGATGTCTGTTTCCATCCCCTTTTGCTGGAAAAGACAAATTGTCAGGAAGGAAGGAACCAACCTGACTGGCACTGTGTTGAGAATGTATACAGGTAGGCAGTGTAAATGAAGGGCTTGGGCTACATGTGTGCATGTGCGTGCACGCATGTGTGTGTGTGTGTGTGTGTGTGTGTGTGCATGTGTGTGTGCACCTGTGCACATGTGTGTATATACATGTGTGCACATACATGCCTATTTGTGTTTCAGTATGATGGATTATGAGGTCAGGATGGAGGAGAATCTCTAGACTAGAGGAAAACAGAACACATAGCACAAAGGTTGCAATTTCCCATCTAAATCTATCCTTTCTCTTCAGGAAAGTGGGTAATTAATCCTGAGGAGCCCAAACTAAGTATTTTATGTGAGATGGAGGTGAGAGCTGTTTATCATAATAACTAATGCATTGTTCTTGTTGTAAAGTGACTTATTCAATCTTTAATTCTCTCTCTCCTCTTAACATTTAGTTTAATGACGAATTTGTAAGATTGTTTGAAGAGCCTCTAAGAACATTACCCAGTGTCGGGCCACCACCCATTCTATCATATAGAAAAGATCTTTCTTATCTGGACCGTAACCTCAAGGTGACTTCAGTTCATATGTTTTATTATTTCTGTAAAGGGCTATATGGGGCCACATAGCATTTGTTCAGTAGATGTGAATATATGTTAAAAGAATCAAAGCAAAGGGTTCCTTTATTTGGAAAAGCACTTGGGCTGGTTTCCTAAGTCTTTTTTCCCCCCACAGGAGGTAACTTATTTATTAGATGTTTGCCATCACATCACTGTCTTATGCTTAGAAGACTTCCCTCAGACATATGGATAGCTAGTGCACCAACTGGAGTCCCTATAGTACTCTCCATGCTTTTATCAAACATTGGTGAAAATTCTCCCATCCTGGTTTCCCATGGGAGAGCAGTCTTAAGTGGTTGCTCTCATCCTGGTAGGTCGAGATGGGCCCCAGATATATGACCTCACTCTGAAAGAGGCATCCAAATCCTCTCTGGTCAGAGGTTGGTTCCGGACACACTGCAACATCTCTTGGCCTCAGGCCTGGTGGTTAGGTTCCTGGCTTCCCACACTCCAAATCATATCCATCAACCACTGCTTTGCTCTGAATGGTCCAACTACACTAACTCAAGTCTGGCCTGATGTCGTAAACCACCCCTCCAGCTGAATGAGGGTGTTGCTATGTACCTCTATGCTTCTGAGGTGTAAGTCTCCATGGCCAAATATGAGCTCCTCCTGGCTCCCATCTATGTATACCACAAAGGGGGCCTCAAAGTTTTCAGGCACCGTCCACCAGGCATTCTCACCATTCATTTCCATCTTAAGTGCTCCCCCTACTTCAGGACAAGGCAAGTCCAAGCAACTGACTGGAGAAGGAAGCTCAGTTTCCTAAGTCTTAATAGCTGAGTTCTGTAAAACAAAAGAACCTCTGCCCTGGGGTTCCTGAGCGTAGAAGTCTGGATCCAGCTATCAACAGGACCACCACTGTAGTGAAACTCTCTTCACTTTTCTCTGCTTTAAGATGTGGCCATTATTGACTGGTAATTCCACCCTGCCAGTCTCTGCCTCAGTGTTCAGTGGTTTCTTGTCAGGCCCCTTGGTCCAAAGGTCCTTCTCTACTGACAACACAAGTAATACTAGATTAAAGCCTGTTCCAATAACTTCATTCTAACTCAGTGACCTTCATAAAGACCAAATAGAGTCACATTTCCCAGGTATCAGAAGTTAGATGTTCAACGCTTTTTTTTTTTTTTTTTTTTTTGGCTTTTCGAGACAGGGTTTCTCTGTGGTTTTGGAGGCTGTCCTGGAACTAGCTCTTGTAGACCAGGCTGGCTCGAACTCACAGAGAACCACCTACCTCTGCCTCCCGAGTGCTGGGATTAAAGGCATGCGCCACCAACGCCCAGCGTTCAACGCATCTTGTAGGAAGACACAACTCAGCTAACAGTGATCACAGAGTGAATACAGGTGAACCTTTGCCATATTTAATGACATAAAAGAACCAGTTAATGCCCGTGTTTGCAAATCTAAAGGTTCCATTAGTAATTCCAATGAGCCAGGGCACACCTTGCACACCAGAGCGGTGAAGGAATGGCTTCTTCTCCAGGGAGATATCCTGGACAAGGCCGGATCCTCTGGCTCTGGAGGCAGACATTGCAGGTAGCATCAACATTAGATGTGTTAACATTAGTTCAGGAGTGGTAGCAGCTGGCCTATCTAACCCTCCTCTCCATACCCTCTTCATGTGAAGATTCCAGTGCCGTTCAGGGTCTTTCAAAGAATCTCCATTTTGCTTCATTTTCAGGTGAAGGAATAAAAGAATCACTGCCAAGTCTCTTGTATAGAAATAGTCATCATTTCATAGTGGTCCTGTGTTTTGTTTTGTTTTTTGTTTTTTTTTTGCCAGCATCTCTCCACTGTGAGACATTGCCCACCAGCACTCTGCTTTTGATGGTGCATCAAGCTTATCGTGGGGTGGTTTTGACAGCCTATAGACGTCTTTACTCGAGTGACCTATCCCCTGCTGCAATAGCTAACTCAGTCACCTTTATAACTGGCTACTTGGCCTGTCTCAGAGGATAGTTTAGATGGTAAATACAGATGTGCTAGTGTTGCGTCTTTTCCTAGAGGGTTTTTGTGAGGCTCAGCTACTCACCTGCTCAGGATCCCCTGCAATCATAGTTGTAACAAATTACCAACATGGTGAATGTGAGCTCTGCCTCACAAGCTCATGTATTTAGAAACCTGGTCCCTAGCTGGGGATGCTGATCCAGAAGGCTGTGGAATCTTTAGGAGGTGGAGCCTTGCTGGAGGGAATGGGTCACTAGGGGTGGGTCTTGTGGGTCACATACACTGTCCCCTTCAGGCCCTGGCTGTCTGCTATCTGACTGCTAAAGTAATGTAACCAGCCATTTCACATTCCAGTTGCCACAGCCACAAACTACTACTGCCAACACATCTTCACTGCTGTGATAGACCGTATTCTCTAAGCCATGAGCCAGAAGGAAACCCTTCCTCATTTAAGTGGTTTCTGCCAAGTATTCTTTCTCAGTGACATGAAAGTAGCCAACACCTATGCAATAACACAAGGCTTCTTCTTCCTAGTTCTTACAGGCAAAGGTAACATATCCAAACACCTGAGACTGTTCTGTACCTACCTGTAGCTACTACATACTACATATTTCTGTCCCTTCCAGAGGACTCTGAGGCTTTCTTCTTATACTCACACAGCTCCAAGGCTCTTGGTTCTGCTCTTATGAATTGTACCAGAGAGCAGAACCCAAAATGCATCTCAAACTCCTAAACTCCTAATTCTCTTCTGGCCCTTGAGTGGAAGTGATGTTGAATGCTAGACTATACAGATCTTGCTGGCTTGATCCCTTCAGCTACAAGATCTCAGACCCTTAAAAGCTCCCAAGTATTTCTGTGACAAGTGTTCTCAGATAAGTTGGCATGTCCCCCATTGCCTCTGTTGCCTTGCTAGATGCTCACTGCCCACAACCCATTCCCCCTAAGCCTGCTGGGCCTTGGGGCACTTCAAGTTCTTTCTCTTTTTCTCCCTTTTCTCTGAAGGATGAAGAGGAGTCCATACTCATGTGTGAATTTTGTGGAAGTGAGCTACAATCATTCCTTTCTGATGTGGACATTTTCTCTGACAACACTCACCCTGAACTTAAAAAGCATGTAAGTCAGTTTGAAATCAAACTTGACAGAGGCAGTTGTGTTACTTTTTAACATTTGTAGTATTTCCCCTGCTTCTTTCTCTTATATAATTTTTCTTAAAGATTGTGTGTTAGCCATCAAGAAAATGTCAGTCACAACCATCACATTCACTAGGACAGCTATAATTTAAAAGACTGATAATAAGTGTTCACAAAGCTGTGGAAAAGCTAACATTATGGCTAGCCTGGTATTGTGGCATACGTGTTATCCCAGAACACAAGATGGAAATAAGAAGGTTGAAGGCTTGAGGCCATTTTGGTATACAAAAGGCCCTGGAGAAGGGTGGGATAAAGAGAGGGAGGGAGAGAGGGAGGGAGGGAGAAACTGCTAACAAACTTTCAGTTCTGTGGTCATTCAAGAAGTGTCATAAAAGAGATGAGTTTTTGTCCCCCAGTAATAGGTTTCTCCACTCACACAGTAAGCCAGATCAAACTGAACTGAAAAAGTATGATGACAGGTATATTTGAGCAAAGCAACTCCCAGGCAGATTCTCTAATCCCAGAGATTGAGGCCAGAGAAGCTGCACCCCCAAACTGAAACAGGGAGGTTATATAGCCTGTAGGGGAGGGGTGATGTTCACCACAAGCTGGGTTTGTGCCCAAGTATTGTCAAAAGCTGGAATGCTTAGGCAGGGACTTTGGCTGTTTGCTGCAACTGGAGAAGAAGTTGCAATAGTCCCCAGGAATGTGGAACCCGGCTTTTGGGCACCTTTTTTGTTGTTGTTGTTGTAGAGTCTCTGAGAGGGCGGGGTTTGGGGAGGGGTGGGTGATGGGGCTTTCTGGATCATGCAGGGGCAAGCTGGAGGCTCCAACTGAATAATCCAACCTTTTTGGTTATATTGGCACTGGTTCAAATCTGGCTACTTCCTGTTGGCATGGGACAACGTGAGGAGGGGGCAGTTGGGAGTTGGTGGGCTCATGTTCACAGGAGGTATGGATGAAGAAGCATTCAGTTAACTGTCATCCTGGAGACCTAACAAATCCATTCCTGGAAGAAGCAGAGAAGGCAAAATTACTAAGAGAAAAGAATAGATTATTAACACTGGCCCTATGAGCAGGGATACCCATGGAAAGTGTGGAGATTGCCAAAAAGAATGGAACAGAGAGGTGCCCTGGTGGTATTGGCAAAGTTCTTCAGACAAATTGTGGAATGACTCAATAATAGTTTTAATCAGGCCACATTTTCTGATACAGTAGCAGCACTCTCCCCAGAAATAAACAAGTGTGTATAAAACAGCTGGGACAGATTTACTCCTTGGTGTCATAGCAAAGGCTATGGCATTGGGTTAAAAGGTATGAACATTTTTCCTTTGTCTAGAGAGCCTGGCTTTAGCCCAATGAAACACACCTTTAAGTCTGTACTTAGAAGGCAACCCAGAGGAAATTTAAAATCTTGAGCTTGTGACTGAATAGGAAGTAGTCAGTGATCTTTCAGTTTTTCAGAACTTTGTTTATCAGTGCTAAAACTCTGAACCCCAGAAATCCCAGGGGAACAACAGCATAAGAAAGGGACAGAAGTTCAAAACATATTTCCACACCTTAGACCATTTACTTATACCTTTACAGCTTGCATTTATACATATTAAATCATTTTCTGTGTTCCTTTAGTGAAAAGTTACCTCTGAAACCTGTTTGTACTTTATAATGAAGCTTGTGAACAAGGCAAATGTGTTCTTTTTAAACAAGAAATTTAACCAATGAACTACCAAGGTGGTGTAGCCTTTGGTGGAGGAGTGGGCTGTTAAATTGTCAAAACTATCACTAGCCTATTCATCAAACACCTTCAAATCTGAGAACGATAAATTTTACCTGAGCAAGCAGAAGTACAGACCAAGCAACTTCCCCGAATCTATTAAAAATGACCGACACTTACTGGCTACCTAGACAGCTACCCCAAGTTCCTCCATGGTCGTTTGGGGACAGAGGTCCCAGGGCAGCATCGGTCTTCAGCTGCCAGGCCCAGAAGATCTGACAGACCTTCTTGTTGAGTAGGAAGTTGGGGGGCAGCAGCCTACCTTGTCTAGGAAAATAGAGCAATCAATTCCCAGTGTCCTGTATGTCCACAGTCTGGACAGGGCCTTGACAGTGGTTGAGGTGAAAGGCAGTTTTTTCCACCCTGTGGCTGGTTTTGTCACATTTAAAGCAAGCTCCAGGTGGAGCACCTCTGCATCCATGCCTTTTCACCCATCCAGGAGACAGGGGTATGACAAGGAGCCAGCCTATCATGAAAAGCTTTTTTATTAAACATATTAAATGTCATGTTCTCAGATCTCTGAAGCATTTGAGGACCATTATCTGTTAAGTATGTCTAAGCTAGACAGACGTTGCTTGTTTATAGTTACTTGTTTTTAGGCTGAACTTTGAGAACATACATGTAAGCTCAATTTGAACATATCAAAGATGTTGATCCTTTATGAGGTGACAGAATTTAACTTGCAAGTCTTATAAGAATGGATTTTATAGCTTTATATCTATTAAGTTTAGCCTGAAAAAAATAACAATTTCTGATTTGAAGCTCTTTTAATATCAAGATAAAACTTTTAGCTCGTAAACTTAGTCCACAGAGAGACTGGGAACTTTCCCAATCTTTTTATGGTACTCCATTACAGAACACAACAGTTTTCTGTACGATTTAGTTTACCAAACTAGCTACAGCTTAACAATATTAGTAAAAGTAAGGAAATTAGACCTGCATTCCTAAATCAGTCTCTGTTAGTCTGAATAGAACTTAAGTAAAGAGAGACCCTTTGCCAGACTATATGGGTCACCATCCTGCATCATAAGATAGGAATACCTCTGTCTCTGGTCTTTAGCTGTGGCCCAAAGTTTTAGCTTTTTATTTATCTATCTATTAAGATCATACATTAACAAAGGTATTGTAATAAAATGTCTTATAAATTTTAAAATATCCCATAGCCTTATAAGTTTAAGCATTTTAAAACTATTTCCTAAAAAATATCAGGTTTAAACTTTCTGTAAAACTCTAAAATTTTCTTTTAAAGAAGTTTAAGATCTTTCAACTGTGTGACCTGATAATACCCAACTAAGGTACCTTTTTATTTTAAGAATGAAGACATAGAACACTACCATAATTTGTAGAAGGCAAGACCAAGTTTCAACAGTGTAAACAATTCAGTATCTCCTAAAATCAATACCAAATGGATTACAAAATTGCAAAATCTGACTGCCAGAAAGATACATCCCAGTATGTGCATGCACACTGGTCCAGCTTTATTAAACCAACATTGTTTTATATCCTATCTTTCATAAAACCTGTTTTTAGGACAGGATAGGAATTACCATAGAAAACTCCATCCTAATTCAAATTGTCTTAGGAGACCTGTTGTCTTCTTGGTAGGTGAGTGGTGGTGAAGATGGTGGTGAAGTCACATGACATCCTTCTTCTCCAACCCTAGACAAAATGGCGACTGCCCATGTGACTACACTTAAGATTGTGGCAAATCACGTGCTGTTTCCCAGAACAGCTCCAAATTGGAGTTACAAGTTTTAAGTTAATTTTTTGTTACAGATTTTTTTAACCATAAAAGTTGGGATACTCTTAGCTATTTTTAATAAAGTGAAACAGTTTAAAAACAACTTCAATATTATTTATAACTAAATGACATATGAATTTCTGTTATTACATCAGATTCAGTGGCCAGAAAGCTGAGAGAGGCAAATTCTGAGCCTAGGTAGGTAGCCAGTTGCAATAGTAACAGCCCGACTTTCACCAAGACACAAGGAAAATAGTGAACTCACACAACCAAAACCAGTCAGAAACAAACATGCAGTAATCACATACATTTATATTTTTAACTGAGCCTGACACAATTTTGTGTCGCTCTAAATCAACAAGAAGCCTTACAGGCACAGTGCGATCCATCCGTATATGCATACAAAATAGACAAAACTTTTCTGGCAACAAGACAAACAAAACTTTCTGTGGGGAAACAGACTTTGTTACAAATTATATAAATTTTAAATAATGTGGAGGGAGAGAAAAAGGGTATCAAAGTAGAGCATTGTCAGGGTGGTCAGGCTGGCTACAAGGCAAGAGAAAACCAGGAGGGAGAAAAAAAGGGAGGTGTCCACGTGGGTCAGCACCGCCAAGCAGGAGCCACGTGGAATACAGCAGCCTAGAGCTTATGCTATGGATCAGATATGCATCTGAAGGGCACTCAGAAAGCCAGGGAGATGTACCCCCCCAAAAAAAAATGCACCATGTGCTGCCAGCACTGGTCAATAGAAAGTATGTGACTCTTCTCCGTGAGAGCACCTCACTGCTCACTGGGATAAGCAAAGCTTCAGAAGTTAAATGAATTGAGCTAGGAGATTGTGCCTCATTCACCCCATTCACCTGACCTCTTGCCACCTGACTACTTCTTTAAGTATGAGGACAATTTCATGCAGGGAAAACACTTCTACAACCAACAGAATGCAGAACATGCTTTCTAAGAGTTTGCTGAGCATGGGTCTTTATGCCACAGGGTTAAAACCAACTTATTTCTCATTGCAAAAGAAAAAAAAATGTGTTGATTGAAATAATTCCAATTTTGATTAATAAAGATGTGTTTGAGCCCAGTTACATAATTTAAAAGTTGTGGTTCAAAACTACAATCCCTTCTGCACCAACCTACATAGCTAGAAGCAATTTTCTTCCTAGATTTATACCCAAGAAAATGGGCAACATGTATCTATACAAAATTTGTAAACAAACATTCATAACACTTAATACACAAAAATGGAAACATGTATCGATACAATCAGTTATTATTCAGCCACACAAAATAGAACTTTTGTTACGTGCCACAAGATGGATGAGGCCTGAAAACACTATGCTAAGTGAGAAGGCAAGTCACAAACTAGCAAATGTGGTTCCAAGGGACATGAAGTGTGAAAAACAGGCAGATGTGGTTAAGGGCTGGGGCTGGGGCTGGGGCTGGGGCATGGCTTGTAGTGCTTTCCTAGTATGCCCAAAGCCCTGGGTTTTATGCCAACTACCAAATAAGGGGGCATGTGCTAATCCAAAAGATGGAAGGAGAAAGACCACTGATCCAAGTCACCCTGGCCAAATTAATTAAAGCAAGATTTATTTGTGTACATGGGCTGATTCTGCCTTAGGCAGGGTTCAAGAAGTCAACACTGGATTGTGAGAAAGACATGGTTTTTAATAGCTCAGGGGGTAAGGGTTCCCAAATGGGGGATTTGATGGCAAAGTAGGTGGAGTTACAGTGTAAGACCCTCGGAAAGCTGAGGCTTCCAGAATCTTAGCCCAGGACAGCGGCCACCCCAATCACAGAATGGAGGCGAAAGCTTGATGCAAATTGCATGAGGCTTTATTGTAGTTTAACGAGCTAACCCCATGTTAGCTCGGGTCTTTGACCCACCCACCATGGCGGATGGCTAGCAAAGACAGTTTAAGCCGCTGCGCACAGATCTTTATAGGGCAGCGTAAGGGGAGTGTCTAGGGGTATGCACAGGCTCAGGATTGGCGTGCCTCCAGGCTTGGAGGGTTTGCCCTGTGTTGATTGGTCAACTGGAGGCAGGCATCTGACTTTCTAGTGACTAACTTCTGATTGTTTCCTTGTCACGAGGTAGGCATCTGACTTTCTAGTTTCTAGGACAAGGTCATAGAAGCATGTGTTCGGCCATTATTGCTGCCAAAAGGGAAGCTGGTCCCTTCAACAGGAGCAGAGCATAAACATAACAAGTTAGTCATAACAACCTCCTGAAACTAAGACATGATTGCAGGGGTCATAACAACAGGAAGTCATAAGAAGGTAGTCATAGCCGGGTGTTGGTGGTGCACGCCTTTAATCCCAGCACTCGGGAGGCAGAGGCAGGCGAATCTCTGTGAGTTCGAGGCCAGCCTGGTCTCCAGAGTGAGTGCCAGGATAGGTTCCAAAGCTACATAGAGAAACGTCTCAAAAAACCAAAAAAAAAAAAAAAAAAAGGTAGTCATAACAACCCTTTTGAAAGAAAGGTAGGGCTGTGTTGCGCAAATTCTCTTTGGTCTTAACAATAAAAACTCAAGAGTTAGCTATTAGGGGGTGAAAAATGAATGGTCAGAGATACAAAGCAGCCAACTACACTAGCTCTTACCTCTACCTCAGACTGAAGGGGCAATCCTGTCCTTAGCCTGCCTCCTGAGACTGCACCCTCAGACTGCTTCAGACTAACTACTGCTCAGACTGCCCTGCCTCCTGTCTCCTCCCGTCTTATATTCATCTCTCTGCCCAGCCATATCCCTTTCTGTCTCCACCTCCTTAGTGCTGGGATTAAAGGCATGTCACTCCAAGTGCTGGGATTACCCTTATATGAGCTCTGTTTCTCTTTTAAAGACTGGATCAATTTCATGTAGCCCAGGGTGGCCTTAAACTAATAGACATCCATCTGCCTCTGTCTCCCAAGTACTGGAATTAAAGGTGTGCACCACCACTGCCTGGCCTTTATGGCTAACTAGTGTGGCTGCTGGGATTAAAGGTGTGTGCCACCACTGCCTGGATTCTCTGGCTAACTAGTGTGCCTAGCTTTGAACTCTGATCTTCAGGCAAGCTTTACTTGTTATAGCATAAACAAAATATCACCACAGGATTTCAAGACAGTTACTTGCTTTCTGAAACAAAGACATGATTACCATACCTGATTCAGGCAGTACAGAATCATTTGTAGTTAAGATTACAGGTGGACATAGATCATACATAGGAATGAAACTAGTTTGTCTTTACTATAAGATGGCTTTCTTTCTTTTTCTTTTTCTTTTTTTTTTGGTTTTTCGAGACAGGGTTTCTCTGTGTAGCTTTGGAGCCTATCCTGGCACTTGCTCTGGACACCAGGCTGGCCTCAAACTCACAGAGATCCACCTGCTTCTGCCTTCTGAGTGCTGGGAATTAAAGGCATGCACCACCAACGCCCGGCTCTATAAGATGGCTTTCAACCCTAACATGGAGGCAGGCTGGTTCTTCGCATGGTGACACACACAATATTCCCAGTGCTTGGGAGGTGGAGACAGATCACAAGCTCAAAGTCACCCTTGGCTTACATAGAAAGTAGACTGGGATACATGAGTTGCTGTCTCAAAAACAAAGGAAACAGATTAATGATTAGTTCTGATGAGGGGAGATGAATTCATGGGTACAGGTTTTATCTGAAATGACTGGTAATGGTTGCTCTGAAAATACTAAACACCAGAAGAAATAACTCTTTTAAGCAGATGAATTGTGTCACGGTGTGTAAACTTTATCTTGCCAAAACTACTAAGAAAAAAGAGTTATGGCCTCTTGTTATCCATACCTCATTGGTTTTGGGGTTTTACCCCTCTGATCCTCTTCAACCAGATCATAGCCTCTTTGTCTTTCAGGCCTACTGTTGTCCTGAATTAAAAAATCTTCTTGATTATATCAATGAGGAAAGGAACAATATCAAAAGCACTAAAACGGACTTAATCAGTATTAATCCTCATGCAGCACATGGCAGTGATGTCGACAGACTCAAGGCAAAGGAAAAAGCCATGCAGAGGTAATGCAGGGCCCTGGTGCTGAGCCAAGAGAGGACATTGCTAACTAAAGAGCATCTCATAAAATGAACCTGATTTCTCAAAAATATGTAATTATGAGGATGTGTTTCTTCTTCTTCTTCTTCTTCTTCTTCTTCTTCTTCTTCTTCTTCTTCTTCCTCCTCCTCCTCCTCCTCCTCCTCCTCCTCCTCCTCTTCCCCCTCCTCTTCCTCTTTTACTCCTTCTCCTCCTACTTCTTCTTCTTTGATTTTTCAAGACAGGGTTTTTCTGTGTAGCTTTGTAGACCAGGCTAGCCTCAAACTCACAGAGATCTGCCTGCCTCTGCCTCCCGAGTACTGGGATCAAAGGCGTACATCACACCCCTGCATGAGGATGTGTTTCTTATTTTTTTTTTTTAAAAAGGGGGAGCTAAAGCAAGCTCATTATAATCCCTGGTTAATGTCATAAGATTCAAAAGTTCTAGGAAGAACTTCAGCAGTAGAATGCTTCCCTTGTGTACACAAGTCCCTGAATTGAATCCCGAGCACCACAAATACAGATACTAAATAATAAAAGTAATAATGATGATGATGATATTAGAGACAGGAACCTAGTGAGCTCACCAATTTGAAGTAGAAATTGTCAATCATAAATTATTAGGGCAATTCAAAACTCCTATGCTAGAGAAATTTTTGCTATTGGCCCCCACACACATGCTCGATCCTATAAGATGGATTCATAAGCATAACAAAGGATGGTACTTGAACAGTTGAAATTTGTAGTACACTAATCCCACTTTCAACCACAATATAGATTTATGCTTGATGGTTTTGATTTTGTAGAAAACAAGAACGTCAAATGGCCAGACATTTTGCAATAGTATCAAGTGAACCGAGCCCCCCGATACCTGAGGACGGTAAGGTTGTTGCTGTGGATGCTGCAGACATCAGAAAGCTTAGATGTTGGGTCAAGGCGTAAAACTGGCATATGTTAAAATAATACTGAAAATGTTCATTTGTAAGTATCATAAAGCATGTATCTGGTGAAATGGGTCAAGAAATCTGGGGTTTAGGCTCTCTGGCTTTAGAGTTCTTGGTCTCTGTTTCATCATTATTGGTTGAAATCAACTAGTGACAGCCTCAGAGCACCGCTTTGGAGTAGCTGAGCATTATCAAGTCTGTGTCTCTTGTGTTAGGAAACACAAATTGCACTCTTTTCTCAAACTTGGATGTGGAAAACTTGTCAAAAGACATCAGAATACTTTCTTCTTATACTCACCAGGGTTGGTCAGTGTGGGGGCAGAACTGAAGCAATTGAATTGAATTTATCATAAGAAATCATAGCTTTATGTGTTCATTGGCCTTCTCACAGGCCATCTGATTTAGAAGAAACAATTTAATTTTCTCAGTCAGCATCAGGTTCCTTCTATTATTGAAAAGGTACTGAAGGTAGTCAGTCAGTTCAGTTTGTATTTTTGTAAATAAATATCAATATTATAGAGGGCTTCTTGAAATTCACTGTTTCTTATTGAAACTAAAGGCCACCAGGCATGGTGGCACACACCTTTAATCCCAGCACTCTAGCCAGGCAGATCTCTGGGGGTCTGAGACCAGCTTGGTCTACATAGTGAGTACCAAGCAGTCAGGGCTATACAGTTCAAACACTGTCTGAAAAAGAAAAGAAAGCAAAGAAAAAAAGAGAAATAAAGGAGTGAAGGATAGAGGCAGGGGAGAAGGAAGGAAGGAAGGAAGGAAGGAAGGAAGGAAGGAAGGAAGGAAAAGCCTAGAAATTCCACTTAATGCAAACACAGTGGAATTTTTCACTTTTTATTTAATAGAAAAATTTGATAACTTTTAATTCAAAGAACCTCCTCCCTAATTTTAATTTAATAGAGGTCCTTAATATTCCTCCTTTAAAAAAAAGTATGATAAATCAATGCATTTGCAATAGGGTTTGAACTTTATTTTATATATAATAAAGGGTTTTTTTGGCACAGCACACAAACTTTCCTGTGATTTTTCTCCCAATAGACTCAAAGCACACGAAGACAATTTCTTACCAGCTCTCTTTGGATATACCAGATGTGAAGATAGAGGAAGAAACCAGTGAAACTGAGATTAGCAATGTCTCCATCATTTGCTGTGATTCCAGGAAATTATGTGGAAAGGTAATTCATTTACAATTTTTGTTTTTGATATTTTAAGCCAATTTTGCCTAAAACATATAAAAGTTCTTATGGAGCTTCACTGTGTGGCCCATTGCTACCTCTCAAAACTAATTGTACAGACTTGGGATTGCAACTGGTTCTATGCTTTATGTCTTGTTAATGTTCTCAGTTAAAGCCTTTTGGCCTTATTATGTGACAGTTCCACATTAAAGACAATCTGGAACTCTTAGAAAGCTAAAAGGAGGAAAGAAAAATCACCAACGTCCTAACCTCTTCCTCAAAACTGTATTAGCATTTGAGGGGTTCTGTGTTTGCAGCACACCTCAATGCTTCTGTAGTTGAAAAGGAAGGACTTTAAAAGGGACATCTTCCCTTAAATGACCCAATGCAGTTTCCTCCGAGTTCTAAGAAGACTGCATTTTTACATATATTGAGGAAAGTCTTCATAATACACTGATTTTAAAATGTATGGATAAGTATAAAGAACCTAGAATTACCAAGGCACTCTGCAAGAAAACCAAAGAGAGATGTAGACCTCTGCAGAATATTAAGCAAGGGTGATGCTGAGGAGGAGTCAACAGAGCCACACAACCGTCTGTAATTAGATCCCAGCAAGCATGCATTCAGATGACAGCAGTACCACTACAGAGTAGTGAAGAAACAAAGTTTTTTTAATGTGTAGTTCTGGGTCAACTTGGACTGGGCAGCCATGTTTTATTAGTGCCATTAAAAAGACTTCCTCATACCTTATGTAGAAACCTGTTTTAAGGAGATTAAATACCTAAATACAATATACAGAACCATAAAGATTTTATTTTCTTTCTTTTTTTATTTTTTGTTTTGTCTTAATCTTGTTTTGTTTTTTAAGACAAGAGTTTCTCTGTTTAACAGCTCTGGCTGTCCTAGAACTTGCTCTGTAGACCAGGCTGGCCTCAAACGCACATAGATCCACCTGCCTCTTCCTCCCAAGTGCTGGGATTAAAGGCGTGTGCCACCACCACCACTTGGCTTCTTTTCAATTTTTAAATGTATAATATTGGGGGATTTCATTTACACATGCAGTGTATTTTGATTATATTTCATACATGTGTGTGGTGTATTTTGATCATATTTCACATGCATACAGTGTATTTTGATGATATTTCACATGTAGAGTATTTTGATCATATTTCATACATGCATTCAGTGTATTTTGATCATACTAATCTCAGTTGTTCCTCCTAACTCTCCCCAGATCCAATTCTCATCCTCTTCCAACCCCTCCCTACATCATGTCTTTTGGTTTTATAACTCAGTCCAGTTTGTGCTGCCACAAAGTATCTTTTAACATCATAGAAGACAGTTACACCTAAAAGCAGTATTTGTAAGGACTTGTGTAGGGAGACACTGTAGCCACGCCTCCTAAAGGCCGCTACAGGTATGCTTGACCACGCCTGTCAGGGCGTGGTCGAGGGTTGCAGGATGACGCATGGGGAGTTCCTAAGGGGGCAGACACGTGGGTGCTCTCCCTTCTCTCTGGCCACGCTAGCTTGCGAGCTCTGGACAAGCTTTGGCTTGCGCTTGGCTGGTGTTTATCTGAATAAAGAAACCTTAGCCTTATGGACTACGGATTGATCTCATCAGACTTGATTAATTAAAATTCTGAAAAGCAAGTAAAAAATGAAGAACTATTTAAATAACATATGGCATATAAAGGTCTTATATCCTAAATTTATGAAGAATTTTTATAAATCAAGATGAAAGAGTTAATTTTTCCAGGTGTGGCGGTGCACACCTTTAATCCCAACATCTGAAGGCAGAGGCAGTTGGATCTCTGTGAGTTCCAGACCAGCCTGGTCTACAAGAGCTAGTTCCAAGACAGCCTCCAAAGCTA